TAAGTCACACTGACAGAGGCATATCTTCTATTCAATTTCATCTGGAGTAACCAGATTTGGTTGTACATCCTTACAGAAGTGTACTGTTTGTTAAACATAAAAATAATTACCGGTGGGGGACTATGGATTGCCGCCTAATACTTTGCCTTGTTCTACATTGCTCCCATACCTCGGTACATATGTGGAAAAGAAGATGACATTTTTGTCATCTTCAAACGAACTTTCTTGATGCTGAAGGATTATACCCGTCAGAGAGAAAGATTTCTGTCATTTTGAGATAGATTGTTCTGTGTCTTTTGGTAACACACATTTCAGACTGTGTGATGTTGGCCCCTACCTTCTTAAAAGATGGGTTTTTTCATGTGTGTGCCCCCTTATCTAGACCACCAGCTGGTAGTTATATTGCAAGATAAAAGGAAAACAGGGCCTGTATTCATGAAACTGTTCTCATGCTCAAGTATGGATTCTGTGCTCAAACCAGCTTTCTTGTAACTCACTCAAATCATGTAAAACAATCAAAAAGTTAAATGTAAACAGTGAAATCAGTATTTGGCTTTAAGTCTCTTTTTTTATATCAATTTATTACTGGCCAAAGAAATTGGGCTTGAGCACAAAAACCATGCTTGGGCATGAGGACGGTTTCATGAATACGGGCCCTGAACTTCTGCCTTGATGACCCAAGTAAAGCAAATGCTGATCCAGAGTATTAGAGGAACAACGATTGATTGATTCAGAATGTAAATAGGGCTACCCACGTCCATGGCCCACTCTAGATCTGGATATGGCCATCTTAACAAATGTTGTAGTTTCATTTCAGTAGATTGATAAATCACCATACATTTGTTGTTTATTATTATCATTATGTACAGTCAAATTTCCATTCTTTTGAGATATACTACAAGTTTCTAAGGAAGCGGAAATCTTTAGTAAAGGAGATCCATGTGTCACAGTATGGTTATATAACCCTTAACTAACCACCAGGTGTTTAAAAAGGACGTATATTTTTATGTGACAGTTGATGATAAAAGTATGGCATTCCTCCGGGCTTATGGTGACGCTTCACGCCAGCTAGAGTATGACCCACGTAATCCACTGGCCCGTGTCGACTGTCACGATTGGACGGACGTGTGCGCTAAAGAGAATGTGACCATGTTCCCCACACTGAGGATATACAGAAACGGAGAGAAACTTCGGAACTACAAAGGGATGCTGGACACACAGAATGTTGTCAACACGGTCAAGCTGTAAGTGTCACGTGTGCTTGTATTTATTCCCCATATTGCTTGTAGAACAGTAAATGTTTGTCTCCATTTTCTATTCAACCATTTTGCCATTGAAACGAGGGAAAATTCAATTATGGGTTATTAATATTTAACTTTTTCCTTCTAATCTAATTTTCTAATGTATCAAACAGGATTTAAAGACCCCTCTGGTCATCTGATGTCAGAAAAGATTTAAAGACTCCCTTCTCTGTAGTCTTGATATATCAGACTGGTGAAGTTTTATTAAAACAACAAATTGTCTTGGAGTAATGTATAAATTATAGTGAAATAAGTTCTTTTGTTCACTAAAATATATGGATGGTAAAAATCAGATTTTTCCTAATAAATCTCCATTATTCCATTACATTTAGAATATTATGAATTAGCATAAAACCCCTGTAAAAGTTCTATGTACAGATAAACTTTCAGTGTTCATGCTGAGATAAGAAAAGGTGATCCAAAACTCAGCTGATTTTTGTATTGTTTCCTTTCCAGATTGAATCATACGGACATGACAGACTTAAGGAGTGTGACAGATATAGAAACATTCCTTCTAGGAAAAGTTCCCGGCGGCATGGAAATCGCAAGTGACTCCATGGTGTTAGGTCTTTTTGAACCTCATCACAAAAAAGGTACATAAATTGTCTCAAAAAGACATTTTAAATGAAAGTAAATATATGAATAAGATGAATTGAAAGGGGGATATTTATGTGTTTTTTACTGATTCATGTACAAGTTACTTGCAGCATTTTAACTTGGTTTGATGTTTTATTGCATCCAGCTAGCTAATTTGCCTTTGTTCAGAGACAAAAATTAACATACACAATTTTTTAGGAGAGAGATAAAGTTAGGGAGGGGGCTTAATTGCAGGCACCCACACTGTTCCCAGGACATTTACCAAAGTTGGTTTGGTTTTTGACCAAAGTGGGGAGGGGTCTTACTTGCGGTCAAATACGGAAATGTTGAAACATTCACTTAGGTAGCCAGGATGACATTCATTACCTGTCTATCTTAGAAGTCTTAGGGATGTTACCGAACCACACAGGAGGTCAAAATTAGACCAGTTCCTGCCTGAGTTTGAGTATTGACGATTGTAATATTTATGAAAAACAACAATCTGTTTTTCAGAGATGGATGTGTTTAGGAAGATTGGTAAAGAGATGGAAGACAGAATCATGTTTGGAATCAACAAAAATGGTCAAGGATCATCTTTGTAAGTAAGATCGGGCTAGAATGTTTACAAAATATTCTCCTAATAAAAACTGAAAATTACTACATTTAGTACATGTTTTCTACAACAAAGTATGTAAGTGATCAGTGTGATAGTTATTATCAAATATTTACATTTGTTGCATCCTTCCATTTTAATGCATTGCGAAGGCAAATGTTGTTATGAGACTATAACAACATTTGCTATTGTAACGTCATCAATTTCACGGTTCCCAACACTTGATTTGTTGTTCAAAAACTGTTCGAAATAACTAAATAAAGCATAACTACTCTATCAAAATGTAAATATAAATAATGAATACTTTGGCAAATATTGTTATGGTCCTATAACACACATTTCTATTGCTGACAAACTTACATAAAGCCCTACTGGGCTGTATTAAGTTTGTCATCAATAGCAATGTGTGTTATAGGACCATAACAACATTTGCTAAAACATTCATTGCTTAAATGAGACATCCTCACTAGTGAGGAGATGAAGTCAGTTGTGATTTCATAGTAAATTGAAGACATGTAATGTCTAATCAGATATCCTGACACACAATAGTATTTTTGACAAGTCACTTGAGCCAATTACATTTCTTGAAATGACAGGAGATTTTGAAATGACAGGAGATTTCTGTCATTTCAGAAATGTAATGAACAGAATATTCATTTGAAACACTAAATTTCTCTAGTGTGTCTGAGTTTTCTCATTTTTTTCTTACATGCTTTGCACCAGTCAGCTGATAAGAAAAATCTGTCCAGCTCATAATATAAGTAGGATATTCAAATTGAGGCTTTTTAACATGTTCTTGGAGACCATAACAAAAATCTATAAATGTCTCCATTATCTGTTTCGTATGATGTAAATCTATAAGTGTCTCCATTATCTGTTTTATATAATGTAAATCTATAAATGTCTCCATTATCTGTTTTATATTATGTAAATCTATAAAAGTCTCCATAAGCTGTTTTGTATGATGTAAATCTCTAAATTTCTCCATTAGCTTCCTAATCAGTTCTGTGCTTTTTATAGGAGTATGAAATGTTTTGTTACAGAGCTAAAGACAAATTTGATGTGACATTACCAGCAGTAATAGTGATTAGGCGAACTGATCATGTCAGTCCACACACGGTCTACATGGGCGACTTTAACTCGGCACAACTGGGAGAGTTTATCAACCATGCTCGCATTCCTAAAATGGTAGGTCAAATTTAGCTGGCCTTTATGCATTTCTAGAATGATTGGTAATCTGATATAATACTTTATAGAAAGGTGAACGTTTTTAGTATTAGCAGGAGTTATTACCAGTGATTTTTCAAAATGTTCAAGGTCATGATTTCAAGAAAAGTCAAAGTCATAGTCTTGAAGTGACAAAAATTTAGCTTTATTAGCAGTCAAGGTCATATTATCTTAAAAGGGTTGAAATACAAGTTTCATCAGGAGATAAAGTCCTTTTGTCACAGAGCTCAAAATTCTAGTTTCATGGGAAGTCAAGGTCATATTGTGAAAGGTTTCAAGGTCAAATTTTCAAAGGAATCAAGATTATTGCATCTTGAGGTATATCTGCTAGTAGGTATATCAAAGGGGAATATGGTTATCTAATCTCAAGAGAGGTCAATATCATTTGATTGATAGAGGTTAAGTCTTCGACTAAAATAATTCAGCACCATATGTTGACATAAATATTTACAGCCAGAGCTGACAGTAAAGATGTTCCCTGATCTGTACAGACAGAAAAAGCCATTCCTTATAGCCTTCCTGGATAGCCAAGATATATCCCAGGAGGTCAAGGCCACTCTGTCTTCTATTGTCAAGACTGGGCAGGTCACCGAGGTCATCTTCTGTTGGATCAGGTAAAAACGGCTGACTTTTGTACTCACCAGTTACACAACAACAGGACATACTGTCAGTGTCTCCCCAACTATTGGACCTGTGGAAAAAATCACCCCCCTACAGACAAATGTCTTACTCTCTAGTTCAGTGTCAGCATTTCATGAAGAGGTTTTACACTTTCTCTAAGGTTTTCTGTTTATTATTTAAAGATTCCCATACCACTGACAATATTTGTAACTTTATTTCACACAACACTCTTATCTTGTGTTTGGGTGGTTTCACAGTTGATTTATTTCGTGTGTTCGAGAGAACCATGGTGCTGTGAAAAAAGAACTTCTTCCAATGTAAGTTGGAAGTATATACTGTGTATATCATGTACGTCTCACTCCTTGGAGGGTTTCAAGTCGTGTGTCCGACAATAGTTGATTTGAAATATAAGTTGAATGGTCAACTAAGTGCTGCGATTGGTCAGTTGACTAAATAACAACTCTGACCAATCAAGTTATAGTAACGAACATGCAACACACAAAACGAGTACGCCAACGCACCAACACAACCAATGACATCACAAACATGTACCAACACAACCAATGACGTCACAAACATGAACCAACACAATCAATGACGCCACAAACATGTACAAACACCATCAATGACGTCCCAAACATGTACCAACACAACCAATGACGTCCCAAACATGTACCAACCCCATCAATCACGTCCCAAACATGTCCCAACACAATCAATGACACCACAAACATGGGCCAACACAATCAATGACAACACAAACATGGACCAACACAATCAATGACATTACAAACATGTACCAACAGAATCAATGACATACATGTACCAACACAATCACTGACATCACAACCATGTACCAACACCATCAGTGACATCACAAACATGTACCAGTATATCATGTACGTCTCACTCCTTGGAGGGTTTCAAGTCGTGTGTCCGACAAAAGTTGATATGAAATATAAGTTGAATGGTCAACTAAGTGCTGCGATTTGTCAGTTGACTAAATAACAACTCTGACAAATCAAGTTATAGTAACGAAAATGCAGCACACAAAACGAGTACGCCAACGCACCAACACAACCAATGACGTCCCAAACATGTACCAACCCCATCAATCACGTCCCAAACATGTCCCAACACAATCAATGACTTCACAAACATGTACCAACCCCATCAATCACGTCCCAAACATGTCCCAACACAACCAATGACGTCCCAAACATGTACCAACCCCATCAATCACGTCCCAAACATGTCCCAACACAACCAATGACGTCCCAAACATGTACCAACCCAATCAATGACATCACAACCATGTACCAACACAATCAAGGACATCACAAACATGTACGAACAGCATCAATGACGTCACAAAAATGTACCAACACCATCAGTGACATCACAAACATGTACAAACACCATCAATGACGTCCCAAACATGTACCAACCCCATCAATGACATCACAAACATGAACCAACACAATCAATGATGACATCACAAACATGAACCAACACAATCAATGACGCCACAAACATGTACAAACACCATCAATGACGTAACAAACATGTACCAACCCCATCAATGACATCACAAACACGTACCAACACCATCAATTACATCACAAACATGTACCAGTATATCATGTACGTCTCACTCCTTGGAGGGTTTCAAGTCGTGTGTCCGACAAAAGATGATATGAAATATAAGTTGAATGGTCAACTAAGTGCTGCGATTGGCCAGTTGACTAAATAACAACTCTGACCAATCAAGTTATAATAACGAACATGCAACACACAAACCGAGTACGCCAACGCACTAACACAACCAATGACATCACAAACATTTACCAACACAATCAATGACATTACAAACATGTACCAACAGAATCAATGAAATCACAAACATGTCCCAACACCATCAATGACTGTACCAACACAATCAATGGCATCACAAACATGTACCATCACAATCAATGACGTCACCAACATGTACCAACACCATCATTGACATCACAAACATGTCCCAACACAATCAATGACACCACAAACATGGGCCAACACAATCAATGACGCCACAAAAATGTACCAACACCATCATTGACATCACAAACATGTACCAGTATATCATGTACGTCTCACTCCTTGGAGGGTTTCAAGTCGTGTGTCCGACAAAAGTTGATATGAAATATAAGTTGAATGGTCAACTAAGTGCTGCGATTGGCCAGTTGACTAAATAACAAATTGATTGTGTTGGTACAGTCATTGATGGTGTTGGTTCATGTTTGTGATGTCATGGATTGTTTTTGTACACGTTTGTGATGTCATTGATGGTGATGGTACATGTTTGTGACTTCATTGATTGTGTTGGTTCATGTTTGTGACGTCATTGATGCTGTTCGTACATGTTTGTGATGCCATTGATTGTGTTGGTACAGTCATTGATGGTGTTGGTTCATGTTTGTGACGTCATGGATGGTGTTGGTACATGGTTGTGACGTCATTGATTGTGTCATTGATGGTGTTGGTAAATGTTTGTGATGTCATTGGTTGTGTTGATGCGTTGGCGTACTCGTTTTGTGTGCTGCATTTTCGTTACTATAACTTGATTTGTCAGAGTTGTTATTTAGTCAACTGACCAATCGCAGCAGTACATGTTTGTGACGTCATTGATGGTTTTGGTACATGTTTGTGAAGTCATTAATTGTGTTGGTACATGTATCAACACAATCAATGATGCCACAAACATGTACAAACACCATCAATGACATAACAAACATGTACCAACAGAATCAATGAAATCACAAACATGTCCCAACACAATCAATGACACCACAAACATGTACCAACACCACCAATGACATCACAAACACGTACCAACACCATCAATGACATCACAAACATGTACCAACAGAATCAATGACATCACAAACATGTACCAACACCATCAATGACGTCACAAACATGTACCAACACAATCAATGACATCACAAACATGTACCAACACGATCAATGACATCACAAACATGTACCAACACAATCAATGACATCACATACATGTGTACTTTCAGGTAAAGTATATACACGAACTCTTACGTGTATCTATATAGCTTTCTGGTGCTTATCTCTCGTTGACTCACTTTATGTGATAGTGCATCTTGCACAAGAATAGGTCCTCTACATCAGCGTTCCTTGTCCGCGATGTTCTCAGCTTAATTGCTGCCTTCGGCTGTGTTTAGCCGAGGGGACTATTGTTTTTTAGGTCACCTGAGACAAAGTCTCAAGTGACCTATTGCGATCGCCTTTTGTCCGTCGTCGTCCGTCGTCCGTCGTGCGTCCGTAAACAATTTACATTTTCAACTTCTTCTCCAAAACCCCTGAACCAATTTCAATGAAATTTAGCAGGGACCTTCCATGGACAAAGGTTAACAAAAATAGTTGCCGGTTTAGTCCTAAGCCCCCAGGGGCCTGAGGGGCGGGGCCAAAAAGGGTCAAATTGACAAAAATTTCAAAACCCTTCTCCAAAACCCCTGAACCAAATTTAATGAAATTTTGCAGGGACCTTCCATGGACAAAGGTCAACAAAAATAGT